GAAAAAAAAAAAAAAAAAAAAAAAAAAAAAAAAAAAAAAGAGTCAAAGCTCAGAGAGAGAGTGTTCTGTTGGTATAATCAACAGAAGGGGGCAAAGATAGGAAAACATTTTGCCACATGCCTTTTTTATATAAAAAATTACAACCCAAGAATGTTCTACTAACCTAAAATAAAACTTGGGAAGGTGCACGAAACTTTTCTGGACATACAAGGATTCAGAATATACCATTTACTGAGATGAATATAAATACCCAATTAAATGGCATTTGAAATAAAACTGTCACCTCAAGATGGGAAAATAATGAAAAAGTGGCCAGCAATGAATATCACTGAGTATACAGATGGTTCCTGATTTATGATGGTTTGCCTTGATCTTTCGACTTAATGATGGTGTGAGAGCAATATGAATTTAGTAGAAACTGTACTTCAATACCCACAAAACCATTTTTTAAAATTTTCAGTACATTATTGAATAAATTACATGATAACCAACACTTTATTACAAAATAGATTTTATGTTAGATGATTTTGCCCAACTGTAGGCTAATGTAAGTGTTCTGATCACATTTAAGGTAAGCAAGGCTAAACTGAGTTATTTGGTAGGTTAGGTGTATTAAAAGCATTTTCAACTGACAATATTTTCAACTTCTGATGCGTTTACCAGGACAGTGTCACCCCATCCTAAGGTGAGGAGCATCTGTATTCAAATTTAAATGGAAATCTGGGTGACTCTGGCAGTAAGTAATGTTAAGTATCAAATAAGTGAAATCAAATAAATGAAATAGGAGGAAAGCTCTTAGCTAGTGAAGTAGAGGAAAAGTTAAAGAATTTAATATTCCCCTGTAAAGGGGGAAAATGAGCAAGTAACAGCTCATGGAAGAGGGTGGCAAACAAAATTCACCATGGATGAGAAAGTGTAATAGTAATCTCATTCTGCCCAAATAATGATTGTTAAGAATGGGGAGATAAGGAGCATGTGGCTCACTTGGGAGAGTGTGGTGCTGAAAACACCAAGGCCATGTGTTCAGATCCCTATATAGGGATGGCCGGTTGGCTCACTTGGGAGAGTGTGGTGCTGAAAACACCAAGTCAAGGGTTAAGATCCCCTTACCGGGTCATCTTTAAAAAAAAAAAAAGGAATGGAGGGATAATCATTATCCCACGCACAGTGCAAGTTCCAATATTGCAAGAGAAAAGGGGAACAATCAGCCAATATAAGGAAAGAAAAATAGCAAGGTGACATAAGTATCACAATGTAAAATGAAAAGAATGAAGTTGAATCATTACACTATATGATAATGTGCATTTCCCTTAGAAAAAAAGATTTCATAGTTTGAGTTTTGGAAAATCAGCTATGTTTTAAAATAAAGTGATGGGCTGAAAACAAACAATGGGCA